AAGTAGCATTAAAACCAAATCCAACGTGACATTAGGACATTTATGTCCACTAGAGGGTGGTCCACTGGTGTGTGCCGTAGTTATGCGTGCAGGGGTTTAGCCTTTGTCCATACCTTTTTGAAAAACAAAGTAGAATTGGGTTTTTAAATAAGATGATAGAAATATGTGAGATTTGTTTCCAAGTGCTGTTTTTATGCGCATCATTACAGATGATCAGGAAAAGAAGACATTTTCGGTCGAAAGAAATGTGACCAAATGTGTAATAATAATAATAATAATAATAATAATGATGATGATGATGATAATGATGATGATACTACACATAAGATTATACATTTATCTGAAAAATGAATTGACTTTGATGGTTATCTGCCTGGTTACCTTTACAAAATTAACATAATATATACGTCTGATGTGAAATATGTCACGTTTCTGTGTCTGATGTCAAACACAACAAATATGACAGGACAAAGGGTAATATTTTTATAGAGTGTACTTTATTACTTCACTGTAAACACGATATTGCCATTTATTATTCATTCTTGTATAAATACCAAAATAAAGACTTATTCTATACTAACTTGCATAAACCAAGAAACAAACATAAATTACTGCAGAAATTCTGACTTTTTTCAGTGGTTGTGTACATTTTTTGAAAGCAGTACCTTATATTATAGTATAGTATTATTTACAACACTGAGAAAAACTAATAGATAATATCAAAATGAAAACTTCACTTATAGTGAAAACATATTGTTAAAACTTCACTATAAGGTTACACGTGAAACAATGTTCCAGCGCATCAGAGTATTATTTATCCATGTTGTTACAAGACTTCGGTTCTATTATTTCAGCAGTATCTAATACAGTAATAGAAGACTAGGAAACACTTCCAGCAGAGTTTTTATTATCCAGGGTCATCAATGTTGTTTAGGTGTAAAGCCTGTGTGTCTGAGTCCACCATGACATAAAACTCTCACCTTGTGTCTTGTAAATACACAGAGTTTACAACAAGGTGCAAACATGAAGTTACACTGAAGAACAAGAAGGTCAGATTAGACTTTGCCAGAAAACATCTAACAGACCTCGCACAGTTCTCGAAAAATTATATTTCAAAAGAT